ACAAAGGAGCCAAGAACATACAATGGAGAAAGGAAAGTCTCTTCAACAAATGGTATTGGGAAAACTGGACAGCCGCATGCAAAAAAATGAAAGCAGACCATTATCTTACACCATACACAAAAATTAACTCAAAATGGATTAAAGACTTGAATGTAAGACCTGAAACCATGAAACTCCTAGAGGAAAACATGGGAAGTACACTCTCCAACATTGGTCTTAGGTGATTTTCAAGTACCATGTCTGGGGCAAGAGAAACAATAGAAAAAATAAACAAATGGGACTATATAAAACTAAAAAGCTTCTGCACAGTAAAGGAAACCATCAACAAAACGAAAAGACAACCTAACAATTGGGAGAAGATATTTGCTAACCATGTATCTGATAAAGGGTTAATCTTCAAAATATATAAAGAACTCATACATCTCAACAACAAAAAACTAAAAACCCAATTAAAAAATGGGGAAAAGACCTGAACAGACATTTCTCCAAAGAAGATATACAGATGGCCAACAGGCACATTAAAAGATTTTCAACATTGTTAACAATCAGGGAAATGCACATCAAAACTACGAAGAGATATCACCTCACACCCATCAGAATGGCTATAATTAACAAGACAGGAAACAGCAAGTGTTGGAGAGGATGTGGAGAGAAGGGAACTCTCATACACTCTTGGTGGGAGTGCAAACTGGTGTCACCATAATGGAAAACAGTATAGAGATTCCTCAAAAAATTAAGGCTAGAACTACCGTGTGATCCAGCCATTCCACTGCTGGGTATTTAACCAAAGAACATGCAAACACAATGCGTAAAGATACATGCACCACTGTGTTCATTGCAGCATTATTCACAATAGCCAAGACTTGGAAGCAACCTACGTGCCCATTAAGGGGTGAATGGATAAAGAATATGTGGTGTATATACACCATGGACTACTACTTAGCCATAAGAAACGATGAAATCCAGCCATTTGTGACAACATGGATGGACATTGAGGGTATTATGCTAAGTAAAATAAGTCGGAGGGAGAAGGTCAAATACCATATGATCTCACTTATAAGCAGAAGATAAAAACAATAAACACATAGAGACAGTGATTGGATTGGTGGTTACCAGAGGGGAAGGGGAGAGGGAGGAGGGCGAAAGGGATGATTAGGCACATGTGTGTGGTGATGGATTGTAATTAGTCTTTGGGTGGTGAACATGATGTAATCTATGCAGAAATAGAAGTATAATGATGTACACCTGAAATTTATACGATGTTATAAACAAATGTTACTGCAATAAAAAAATAATAATAAAAATAATTGAAAACAAAAGTGTAAATTTGTGGATTGGTGTTTCGGTCGCAAATGACAGAAAACCCAAATCAAATTGGTTTAAGCCAGAAAGAGAATTTACTAGCTGAAGTGTATGGCTAGATATATGGATTCAAATATCCCTGGGAACCAGTCTCTCTCCATCTCAGCTCTCTTCTCCATGTCGGCTTCCTTCTCGGGCTCTGTATAGTTGTGAGATGACTGCCAGCACCTCTAGAGCAGCATCCTCCAGGTTCAAATTTAGTGAGGAAAAAAGAATGCCTCTCTCCCTAAAGTCCCAGCAAAAGTCTCGTTGCATCTCATTGGCTCTAGTTGGGCCCCATGCCCATCACTAATCCAACCAAGGCTGTGGCCAGGAGTCTGCAGTGCTCCAACTGCCCCACACCCTCCTGCAGGGCAGCCACGGGGCAGAGTAAACTCTGCTGGGAGCACGTGGATTGGTTGTTGTGGATCAGGATGGTTCCCAAGAGGAAAATGAGGGAAGGCTAAATGGATTCTGAATGGCAAAACCAAAAGCTGCACCCACAGTTTAGTGAGACCTACTCCTAGAAACTCTGCTGGCCTTCTTCATGCTTGTTGTCAGGTGTGATTTGCCTCATGGCTGTGTCTTGGCATATTTCCTCCTACAACAGCCAACTGCCCATTTATGTGACCTCAGTGATGAAAAGGTCCAGGTCAAGCCTCCTTGCTTAGCCTACTCCACACACGAAGATGGTGCATCCAATGGGGCCATCATGCGTTATACATGGAGAGGCCCAATGCGTCTTTCCTCTCAAAGAGCCTGGGGCTTGAGGAACTGCCTCAAATTTGTGATTAGAAGTTTATGCGTGAAATGTAATGGAAGAGTTTTAACTCCATCATGTGTTTGAGGCAAGATCATGGGTTCCCAGAGAGACCTCATATTCTTAAAACAAATTCCTCTCATTGCTTGAGCTAATCACCAGAACTAGATCTCTGCAACTCAAAACACACAGTCATAAATAATTAACGTGAATGTGCTGGGCGTATATTGCGAACCTCGAGCTGGTGTGCGTATGGGGTGACAGGATGATTCCAGCTGGGCAGGAGGGTGAGGCCAGCAGTTGGGGCAGCTGCAGTTGTGGGAGAGTTGTGAGGTACCACAGTGGCTTTAGTGTGAGAGATGGAGGCAGAAGCCAGGCCAGGCCAATGAGTGGAGAGACCACCATCTGTGGAAGTGACTTCTGTGGGGCGGAAGGTGGAGGACAAGGAACAGTGCTGGCTTTGCTCCTCACTGAGCTGCTGAGGGAGGTGGGGACTACATGGACTCAGCAGTGACCACAAGCCACAGGGTGAACACAGAAAGGACTTGTGCAAAGAACTATGTGAAACAAAGAGTGTCAGGACCAGAGGAGAGGACTTGAAGATGAAGAGTGAGGAAGGTTCTGGAACACACTGAACAGGCAGCCAAACAAAGTGGCTAACAGGAGACCATCTTTGTGACTTACCTCAACTGTGTAGCTAACCCTGCACCATCTTTCCTCACACTCTAGGAGAGTTTAATTGTACACCAAAACAATTGGCAGGGTGGGCAAAGGGCAAAGTCAAGAAAGGCAGGACTTTCAGTGTGGGGAGGGCAGCCTCTTGGAGAAGTCCCCTTCTTCTGTGTTGCCCCAAAAGGTGACAGAGAAAAGAGATATCCAACATGAACCCAACTTTGCCCATGCCCGCAGGTCTGTGAGGGTGAGGGGTTGTGGTGGGCAGTGCAGGCAGCCCCCTGCTCTGATCCTCACCAGCCAGGCCCTCATGCAGCAAGGAAGCTTGTGCTGCTCGCTGCCGAGATCCATGTGAATGTTGGCACCTGCTCTCTGTCCTCACTTTGTAACTTGCCCAGCCCAGGGAACCACACATTTAGTGTGTTCAGGGGAACCCAACAGACACAGGAGTCCATGCTCTCCTGAAGCTAAGCAGTCTCACACTCACTTCTGAGGTGAACTTGGGGCCCCTGGGATCTATCCTTGTAGAGGATCCACGTTTCCTCTCAGGAATGGTGTGGGGAAGCCCCTCTGTGTCCACGCTCTCTGGACCATCTCCCCTGGAGCCTTGTCCTTCCATTCTCCAGACCCAGAGGATTGCATGTCTCCATTCGGCATCTCCTTGACCCCCGTGGGCTGTGGAATAAGACTGTCTGGGTTTGAATCTCAGCTCCTGTGTTTGCTATGAGCCTCAGGCAGAGAGCTTAACCCATCAACGCCTGAATTTCTTAATCTATAAAATAAGGATGTGAATGCTAGTTTGTCGTGAACATTAAATAAGATAATACAAAAAAGGTGTAGCAAGTGTACACTGTTACATATTCAGTAAAGTTAGCTACTTAGTGACCTTTGTCTTCTGACCTTGGCTTTCTGTCACAGCCCAAATCAGGTCTGTCTTCTCCCTCATCAAACATCTCATTGTTGTTTTTTTCAGTGCTCCCTCTTGGACCAGCTCCCATTGATGTCTATGTGTGTCCTACATGTTTTTTGAACTTTGAGACCCAGTGCCACCCATTCCAGAACATTACACCATCACGAGTAGCTAGTACTTGGCTTGCTTTGGACTTCATGGAATGGGGTTTATCAAGTGTTTTTGAGGAGAGCTTTTCAAGTGCCTTTGCAGAATTCGAGTAAGACTATGCCTTCCTGGACTTCTTTCTCTAAAGGGTGGGTTATTTGGGGCAGGCCTGGTGGTGCAGTGGTTAAGTTCGCGTGCTCTGCTTCGGTGGCCCGGGGTTTGCAGGTTCGGATCCTAGGCGTGGACCGACGCACCACTTGTCAAGCCATGCTGTGGCAGTGTCCCATAAAAAGTGGAGGAAGATGGGCACAGATGTCAGCCCAGGGCCAGTCTTCCTCAGCAAAAAGAGGAGGATTGGCCTCGGATGTTAGCTCAGGGCAAATCTTCCTCACAGAAAAAAAAAGAAAAACAATATTAAAAGGTGGGTTGTTAGAGGTTTCTGGGTGTTAAGGAGATAAGCACCTAAGAATTAGAAGCATTTTTTTTCTCAGTCTCTCACCTGAGGCCTTTGTTCCCACCGTGAGCCTTAGTGGCTGCTCCTACGTAACAGTAATACCCTTTCCCTCATTGATGACTTTATTAAAGCATCTCAGGGGCCAGGGTGGTTGGGCTATTTTTGAAATGCTTTCATTCCAGCTCAACCAGTTACTAGAAATCAGCTTTAGGGGCCAGCCCATTGGTGTAGTGGCTAAGTTTACACATTCTGCTCCGGCAGCCCAGGGTTCACGGGTTCGGATCCCTGGTGCAGACCTACACCACTCATCAAGCTATGCTGTGGAGGCAACCCACATATAAAAAATAGAAGTAGATTGGCACAAATGTTTGTTCAGGGCCAGTTTTCCTCAAGCAAAAAGAGGATGATTGGCAACAGATGTTAGCTCAGGGCCAATCTTCCTCACCAAAAAAAAGAGGAAATCAGCTTTAGAAAACTGAAAAGCCTCTTCAGCCACAGCCTCCCCCTCACCCCCCTCCGTTCCTGTCTGTGGGAACTAGGCTTCCCCAAAGTGATCTCCTGCCACACCACACCCAGCCAGGCTGTGCCCTGATTTGTTGCTTTAGTGTCACGGGGTATCAACTTCTCTGCAATTACCCAAACTTACCAAATTATGACTGGAGAGGGCCGGTGGGGTTGGGGGGGGTGAGGGGGGACGTGGGCGGGAGTCTGTTGCAGATCCACAGACAGGGCCTGGAGGCCCCACCCTCCCCAGAGCCAGGCCCCGGATCCCTGTCTGTCTCTTTTATTATTTTGGCAGGCGTTGAGAAGTTAATCTTTCTCTACTGGAGCGGCTTCCCTTTTTTTTCACCCTGAGAGGACGCCAAGAGAAGAAGACCTCAAGTTGCCATGAACTCTGCCGTGACCACCAATGAGGACTCCGACTTCTTGGTGAGTGCTGGTAGAAGAGAGAGGGAAAGAGAAGAGGGGGGCAAGCAGAAAGGAAGAGACAGACACAGAGGGGAACCCAGCAGAGTCCTAAAGCCCTGATTCATCGTTAGTGCTAAGGACGGTGGCTCGCAGTCTAGACGAGATTTTAGATGATTACACGGGGGTGGCAGCTGCCCTCCCGACCTGGTCACCCGAGGCAGAGGCCTCTGTGCTGAATTACAAAGGACTGAGGAGGAGCTGGAGCAGCTGGAAGAGCCTCTGCTTTACCTTTGCTCTTAGGTTGGTCTCTGTTGAATCTAAATATTTGTTTTCCAGGTTCCTCACAATTTTTTTGCTCAGAAGCCCGTTGTGAAGCAAAGCAAAGGGAAAGAGAGAGGGAAGCAGAGAGAGAGAACTGATGTTTACTGAACAACTCATATGCCCCAGGCACTTTATACACTTAATTTTCTTCCTCCCAAGCCAGTGGAGCAGGCACATCTGTTTCCATTTGACCGATGAGTCAGCTGAGGCCCAGAGGAATAGTCACAGTAACCCGTCTGGAGGCCTCGCTAGCTAGTCCTGGCCCCAGCACCGCTCCACCCCGTTCTGGCCACCTGAAACTGACAGGGGGAACTGAGCGGAGGCCCTCTGTTCCTGCCACTCCCAGCACAGCTGGAAAGAGCCGCTCTGCACCAGGCCAGGGCTGTAGCCCGAATGCGGCCCAGCAAGGCCTCTGTGGGACAGGTGCCACCTGTGAACCTGGCCTGGGTTCCCAGAGCTGTCCCCTGGAGCCAGGTGCCAGACCCTGCCCACTGCTAGTCAGCCTTCTGGTAAAGGGGCCTTGGCCATGTCTTCTGGAAAATTGCGGGAGGCACCTGCGGGAATTCTCCTTCCTTCCCTTCAGAATTCTTCCTGCCACTACCTCATGGAAGCAAAACAAACAAACAAAGAAAAATCTTGGGAAATAAGCTGAAGACTCTATTTTCTGAAGGCTGGGATGTTTCCCACATTTGGGGCTTACCGGAAGCCAGTTGGGGAGCGGAGGTGTCTGGGCACGTATCCACCTCCCCTTCAGTGGCCCATCTTCTCTTCGTTTTCCTCAAAACCTCAGTTTCAGCATCTAGGTTAAGAAGTCACTTTTCTGAGATGTTTTTGGTTTTCACATGTGTGTTGCTCTGCTAGAGCCTTCTAGAGAACATGGAGAAGACAGCTTATGGCCCAGCTAGGGGAAAGCAGGGTACACCAAAAATATTTCTGATACAAGGGAGAAAATGGTAAATTACATAAGAGAGAGACAAAATGTGCTGGGAGTACAAGGGAGAAAAATCGCACGGGGGTGCGGGGTCAGGAGAGGTGATGGGGGAAGAGACACT